GCCGCGCTGCGCACCTACGCACTGTGTACACGGCGCACGGCGCGCACCTGCCGGGGCGACCTGGCCTACCACTCGGCGGTCCATGGCATTGAGGACCTCATGAGCCAGCACAACTGCTCCAAGGATGGCCCCACCTCGCAGCCGCGCTTGCGCACACTCCCGCCGGCCGGGGACAGCCAAGAGCGCTCGGACAGCCCCGAGATCTGCCACTACGAGAAGAGCTTCCACAAGCACGCGGCCGCCCCCAACTACACGCACTGCGGGCTCTTCGGAGACCCGCATCTCCGGACTTTCACAGACCGCTTCCAGACCTGCAAGGTGCAGGGCGCGTGGCCACTCATCGACAATAACTACTTGAACGTGCAGGTCACCAACACGCCTGTGCTGCCCGGCTCGGCCGCCACCGCCACCAGCAAGGTAAGGGAAGGGAGGCGAGGCGGGTCCTGCACGGTGAGGTCTTAGCACGCGCGTGTGGTTTGCGGAGGGGAGCTCTGCAGATCTCTGCCATGAGGGACCCCGCTGTGTGTCCCCAAGAGTAGGGGTCCCCACCCCACACACACTGGTACCCTTCATACCGCCAGGGGCAGTTTCATCTGTGCTTACAGCCACCTTGGTCGCTAGCACCACCGAGATTCTCACAGGGCCTTGAATCCTGCTGTGAACTCCGCGAGTGAGGGATCTAGGTCACTGCCCCTTTGAATAATCCCAAAGCTCTCTCACCCACCTCCGAACGTGCACATCCCACTCAGTGGAAAAAAATTGGCTGCCTGGTGCCAAAAAAGGTGGAGACCGCTCCCTAGGGGTTGGTGAAGCCTTCCATTGTTTTCAGAAACCAGGTGCACATGTGTAGATATTTTCTAATATTGGGCACATAGCTTTAATGCAGCATAGCTAGGAAAGGCAGCCTGTGAACATGTCGTTCAGGATAAGCATGCGTGTTTAAGGTAAGTGGATTTCTAGTGTGTGTATGTTTGTGTGCAAATACGTGTGGGTGTGCATACAGCCTGGGTAGAGACATAAATAAATTTCTTATGGCGGTTGCAGTCAGAAAAGTTTAGGAGCTGGGGATTTAGCTCAGTGGTGCTGCCGCCTGCTTCACGAGCACAAGGACCGGAGTTCGATCCTCAGTATCAAAGAAAAAAAAAAAGTTTAGAGCTCAGCATGGTGACATGCACCTGTAATCCCAGCTAGTGGGCTGACTGAGGCAGGCGGATCAAAAGTTCAAAGCCAACCCCGGGCAACGTAGCAGTATCCTGTCTCAAAATAAAAAGGCTAGGGACGTAAATCAGTGGTAGAGTGCTTGGCTAGTGTGTGCAAGACCTTGGGGTCTGACCCCCAGCACTGCCACGTATAAAAGTAGACATGTTTCCCAAAGCACTTACTGTGTTTTCAGACCTTCAGAATTGTCTTTTCTACCTCCAGACTATCTCGGTAGGATTTGGTGTTAAAGACTAGATGAAATGGTATGGGTGCAACACGTGTGTCCCCAACCTGGCCCTTGTGAAACAAGCGTCACACTGGACAGGTGGATCCACAGCGTGCGGCAGACATCGGCGCAGCCCTCTGTCCCCTGGTAGCCCCGCAGCCCCTCCTGGGCCGTCTCAACTGCGTTTACAAGGGTGGGGTCAGAGAGGGCTTATTTTTTAACGGCCTTGGTGATCTTTATGATTTTTAAGAGGCTTATTAAGGGCTGGGGGATTGGCTCAGTGGTTCTGCCACCTGCCTTGCAAGGACTAGGGCCCAAGTTCGATTCCCAGTACCAAAAAAAAAAGAGGCTTATTAGACAGAATTTTTAGTACACACTCAAAACAAGAGTGAAGACCTTCCAGAAAGAGGCACATTAGAGTTGGGATTTGGGGGTATTCATGTATTTTGGTGGTGGAAATCTATGCAGCTTATAAATCTAGAGAAAGTTTGAGGCCCCAGTGATTCTCTGATGCATGGTTCAAGTTGGGGACAGTCAGAGCACAGGGTGGGCTGCTGAGTCTGCTGGGCATGGTCCTGCCCTCTTTGTCTGCCCTGGACACAGAGACAGAGGGGGCCCCAGCCATCTGGGGAAGAGGAAGACAGGAGGGCATGGGAGGAGAAGCAGCCTTGCTGGACTTCACTGGACCTGCCAGGGGGCTCCCTCCTCCCAGGTTGTGGCCCCAGTGGACAGATCAGAAGCCCAAGGCTCAGGGAAACTCACAACCCTCCCCAAAATGCAGAGGACCAGAAACACAGAGTGCGGATTAGACCAGGACCAAGGTGACCCCATAGACCACTGGTTTTCTGACCCAGGAGGCCTCAGTCCCTGGACAGGTCCTGTTCACATAGCCACTGCCAAAGGCAGCCACAGATGTGGCCCATGGCACCAGGGAGGGGTCCCTCCTCACCACCCCAGATTCTCCCTCCCTTCCCCGCCCTGGGGAGAGTCAGACCTGACAGGCCAAGAGGCCTCTGAACTAGGAGGGGGTCTGCAGGCCTTCAGGGAGGGGATAGGGACGCGTCTGTCCTTGGTGCCCAGCCTCTGAGCTAACCTGTCCCCACCCACTCGAGCCCCCTGGGGCGTCCGGTCTTCCCTGGCCCCAATGGATCTGTTTTCCCAGGAAGAGCATGTTGGAAGGCACTGTGTTGGCCAGTGGCAGGCTGGCCCACAAGGGTGTTTCTGTTCCTTCCCACCCTGTCACACCCCAGGAGAGGACAGCGAGGTGACCAGGCAGCCAGGAAAATGTCCATCCCTGCCACTTCCCTCTACTCCGGTGGCCCTGGGCCCTCCCACCGAGTAGGAAGCAAGCAGGTCTTCACCGGATGTTGTGCACACGTCTGTCCCCTCCCTACCCTCTGTAGACTCCGGGACCCAGCCGCCTTCCCCACGGCCCCTTCACCCACCCACCACCTGGCTCCCTAGAGCCAAGATAAATGAGTGCTGGAGCCAGAGGCTGTGGCTTCTAAATACAGGAGCAAACATCCTGCGGGAGGGAACCGGCCTCCCTGCCCCAGGCCTTGGGCTCCTGAGGACTGGCAGGGTCATAGGGGTGATCTCGGGGTCTGAAAGAACCTGCGTGTGTGATGGAGGCTGGGCCGCTGCCAGGGTTGGGGGTGGCAGGGTGGAGACAGGCTTGGGGCAGTGCAGCGCTGGATGCCACTGTCAGCTCTGAGCGGAGACGCTGGGACCCTGAGCGCAGCAGTGCTGTCCACAAACCAAAGGGAATCGTTCACTCATCCATGCTTGGGTTCCATTCGTTCACTCAATCCATGTGCTTCAAATGCCTGCTCTGATCCAGGCTTGCTGCTGGGCACTGTGGACTGCAGAACTTTCCAGCAGGGGTGGAACCCCCTCCCTGTGCCAGTCTGGAGGTGCCCATAGAGTGTGGACTGCATGGTAGAGCCTGACCAACCCAGGGTCTCTGCTGGCCTGAGCTGCCTTTGATCTCCATGGCTGAGGGCTCTGGTGGAGGCCAGACGGTGACAGCGCCGGTGCCTGTGGCCAGGCCAGTCTCCCATCTCAGGCCAGACTGGGACCTTGTGGTCCCTGGGTGGGAAACACCAGTCCCTAGCGCCCTGGCCCCCCTGCTTCTTCCAGAGGCCCCTACCCATCTTGTGCGTCCCTGCTGCCTCATGCCAGCCCTGAGCTTAGGGCTTCTCTCCCGGCCTGTAGGGCCCAGGCTGAGGAGAACAGAGCCCAGCAGAGGGTGCTGGGCAGCAGGAGGCAGCAGGCTGGCCCCCAAGGAACTGGAAGACCCCAGGCAAAGAGAGAGTATCAATGTCCTGATGCCTTGAGGGAAGCAGGACTTTTACCCCAAGATAAGGGTGGGTGCCCAGCGCCCCTCTCTGGCTCCCTCTTCCCAGCTGTGCTGGTAGCACGCATTTTACAGGCCACCTCTCCTTCCCCTGTTAGTTTCCCCCATGGCATTCGCCTGCCTGTCACTCGGCAAACTGCATCTCAGGTCATTGCCTCCACCCAGGACAGCTCTGCCCCAGGTATGACCGGCACTGGCTGCACACCAGGCTGCCGATGAAGCCCGGGCTTGCCTGAGTGTCACAGAGGAGAGGCCCGGGGCCATGTTGGCAGCACGCTGCCGGCTCTCAACAGGCCCCTTCATGCTGTCGCTTGTGGTTGAGCCTGGCACAAGTGCCAAGGAGAGTAGGCAGCCTGTCAGCCTTCCAGGAGGCTGTCTCCTCGGAGAGAGAGGGAGAGAGAGAGATCAGAGCGAAACCAGCCCTTCCTGTTCCAGGGAGACAGCGACTCCACTTGGAAAGCAGCCCCCTCCCAGTGTCTGTGTGGCCCTGCGCACCAGGCAGGGACACGAAGCCCCTGAGACATCCCTGCCCCTGCCAGGACCACCCACTGCCCAGACCACCCCGGCTGCCCTCCTCCGCCCTGCCGGTGACCTCACCACGCAGGAGGCTGAACCGCATGGAGTTGCCGTTGCCGTTGCTGTCTGGGCGGGCGCAGGGCGGTGTGCAGCAGAGAGGAGCTTCGCCCCCGCCATGGCCCATCTGGGCAGAAGGGAGGGAGGTGGGGAAATCGAGTCTGATGCTTAATGGCTGCATGGTCAGGGCTTCCCAGTGTAGGCTCCTCCACCGTGGCCCAGTCCTGTGCGGACAGCAGAATGTGCCCCTTACCTCGCAGGTCCCCGTCAGACCCGCAGGCACAGTGCCCAGACATGGGACTAACACGGGCCCACAGAAAGGCTGTTCTTTCTTCTCCGTTCAGGAGAAAACAATTAATGTGATCCAGCCCCCACTTCATTAGTCCTTAGAACAGTATAATTAGAAAATGCAACTTTTAATTTTCCTATAGAAAAAGGGGCCCCCAGGGGCCCCAGTGCCCAAGCCCCAGCAGTCGTTCTGCAGCCTGTCCTGCCTTTCTGACCTGAGGAAGGGCTTCTCTTCCTCAGTCACCCTGGCCCTGGGTCTTCACAGTGTTCTCCCAAGCGTTCCCTGCTCCACGGCTGCCCCAGTCCCTGCCTGGTTGCCCCTCATGTCACACAGTGGTGGAGCTGCTGTCCAGGACGGCACAGAGCTGGGGACTCCTCCAGTACACTTGCCACCTTGTAGTCCTCAACCTGGAATGTTCTGGAAGGTTCTGCAGCCTTCATCTCCCTACAGCCCCCAGGCACCTTCTCTGGGCACCAGCCGGGCCAGGTCCATGTAGCCACCAGGCTGAGCTACTCTCTGGCTCCCTCAGCCACCTGGAGTGGCAGCCACACACCCCTGGACTCGCGAGCTTGCCAGGCAGGTGCTGTGCCGCTGAGCTTCAACCCCAGCCCTCCCTTAGCATTTTGTGACTTTGCCACTTCAGGGATCCCCAGCAGCTGGGGGTGAGCTCCCCAGGGTGGGGACTGGGGCCAGAGTGGCCATGGGGTGAGGTGGGGATTTAGCAAGGAGCTCAGAAGGCCCAGATGCCACCCTGTCCCCAGTCACCACGCCCCCCTCTGCTTTAAACTGGGAATCCAGGTTCCTGCTGCTCTGGGTCCAGAAGGGCACCAGTTAGAGAGCTGGTTATTACTCTCCTGGTGTCACACATGTCCCCAATCCGTGTCATCTAGCTGGCTTTGAAAGTGCAACAGGCACCACAGCTGGGATGACACCCAGGGTGCTGATGGAAAAACCCTCACCCTCCTCCCGGGCTGCCTGCCTCAGGTCCTTCTCCCTGACCTCTTTTCCTGCACAATTCTGCCTAAAAGGAGCCCAAGGCTGGAAACCAGGGGACTCATCCAGCTCTTCCCTTGCCTCCATCAGCTTTGCCTGACCCTGGCAGGGCACTTCGTGCAGCTGACGCCCCAGTTCCTTTGGCTGATCGGCCCTTCCTCCTTCCCCTCCTCCAGGGCCCAGGCTGGTGTGATCCCTTTGCAGCAGGTACCCCCACCATCGTGCAGATGGTGTTAGCTCAAGGAGCAGATCCATTTCCCCCTGCTGCTGTGACACTTGCCATACAGGAAGTAGTTTAAACCAACAGAATTTATCCTCTTTGAATTCTGGGCTCAGAAGTTCACAGAGAAGAGAGTCTCACAGGGCTGCAATATAGGTGTCCCCAGGGCTGGTCCGTCTGGCACCTCCAAGGGAGGATGCACCTTTGCCTCTTCTGGCTTCTGGGGTTGCTGATAACCCTCAGCTCCTAGCCTGATATCTTTGGGCACCATTTTTCTGCCTACCACAAATGACCTTTTATTTTTAATTTGCTTTGCTTCCCTTTTTCTTTCTTTTTTTTTTTTTCTTTTTGCTATTGTTATCTTCTGTGTCTGATTTCTGTTTTTCTTTTAATCTTTATTTTTATTCACACGTTTGCAGAACATAATGATGTTCATCTTGAGGAATTGGTACATGTACGTAACTCAGCTAAATTCCTGCCCCCCTCATGTCCCTTTTCCCTCTCACTCCATCTCTTGGTCCTCTTCCCATTTGCAAAAGATCTATCTTCCTGTTTCCTATTATCTTTTATTTTGCCCTTTAAAGTGTTTATTCTTTGGGTTTCTCATACAGAGAAACCATAGTTCTGCTTCTGTCTTTATGGTTCATCTATCTGCAGAGTAGATGACCTAATTTCCCCATTCAGACAGTGACCTGAAGTTTTTCTGAATAGTCTTTTGGGTTTTGTTTGTTTGTTTTGTTTTTTAAAAAGGGCAAGTTGGGCTGGGCCTGGTGGCGCACGCCTGTGATCCCAGCACTTGCAAGGCTGAGGCAGATGGATTGCTCTGAGTTCGAGACCAGCTTGGGCTACATAGTGAGTTCCAGGTCAGTCTCAACTACATAGTGAGCCCATCTCTAGAAACAAAACAAAAAAGGAGTTGGTTTTAAGGAAAAATATTAGTGCCTTGTAGTGCAACTGTAACTGAGCTATGACCACCACAGGAAGGGAGGCTGGCTGCATCCTGGGGTCTCCCCTCAGTGCTCCTCTCGGTTTGACCCTCTCAGGCACAGGCCTGGCTTCTCCCCAAGCCTAACCGGCTCTCTGCCCCCACCCTGCAGCTCACCATCATCTTCAAGAACTTCCAGGAGTGTGTGGACCAGAAGGTATACCAGGCAGAGATGGACGAGCTCCCGGCTGCCTTCGCCGACGGCTCCAAGAACGGTGGGGACAAGCACGGGGCCAACAGCCTGAAGATCACGGAGAAGGTGTCGGGTCAGCACGTGGAGATCCAGGCCAAGTACATCGGCACTACCATCGTGGTGCGCCAGGTGGGTCGCTACCTGACCTTCGCCATCCGCATGCCCGAGGAGGTGGTCAATGCCGTGGAGGACAGGGACAGCCAGGGTCTCTACCTGTGCCTGCGGGGCTGCCCACTCAACCAGCAGATCGACTTCCAGGCCGTCCGGGCCCAGGCCGAGGGCCCCGGTCCCCGCAGGCCAGAGGCCGCCAGCCCCGCACCCGCGGCCCCCGAGACGTTTCCCTACGAGACAGCGGTGGCCAAGTGCAAGGAGAAGCTGCCCGTGGAGGACCTGTACTACCAGGCCTGCATCTTCGACCTCCTCACCACGGGCGATGTGAACTTCACGCTGGCCGCCTACTACGCCCTGGAGGACGTCAAGATGCTGCATTCCAACAAGGACAAGCTGCATCTGTACGAGAGGACTCGGGAGCTGCCTCGCGGGGTGGCGGCTGCAGCGCTGACCCCCGCGCCCCCGCCCCTCCTCATCCTCCTGCTCCTCCCCCTGCTACCTGTGTTCTGCTAGGCAGCGCTGCGCACTCTTCCCTGTGTACCCTACCGAGGCTGGGGACCCCGCCCCAGTGCCGATGCCTGGCAGATGGCCCGGCGGCCTCTGCAGTGTTCCGGGAGCAGAGGCGCCCGCCAGCGCGAGGTCGGGTGGCCGGGTGGCCCTAGGGGCGTGGGGCCACCCGCCTGCTCTAGTGCACGTGACAAGGTTGTGGTGATTGGTGCCTGTGGTGTTTGTGACAGTAGAGTGGAGAGGGAGAGCAGCTCCCTCCACCCCACCCCTGTGTGAATGTACAGAGCAGACCCTGGGCTGGAGCCCCGCCCCACCAGGGCGACACTGGGAAGGGTCAGCATCGCCCCTTGCAGCCCTCGAAATGCACTGAAACAGGCCCGGCAGACCAGACCGCCGCGCGTGCGCACACGCTCGCCCCCCCAAACTCGCACACTAGGCCCGTGGGACAGCGCAGGGGGCTGCGGCCGTGTCCCCGGGCGAGAGGGCAGGGCTCAATCGCGGTAGGCCGGTCGCCCCTCAGGGTGTGGCTCTCCCCTTTGCGGCCACCAGGCTGTGCCTTCTGGCACCTGCCCTGGGCCCTTCCTCTGCCCTGGAGCCCCGTGGTCGGAGGGACGTGCTTATTGACACAGGGTCGGAGCAGGACCGCTCCTGGGCTCGGTGCCCTACACCGTGCGTGGGAAAATCAAGTGCTTGGTTCTATTTGTCCACAGGGAAAAGGGACCCTTTGACTCCTCCACCCTCTCCCACGGGGCAGGGGAACCTGAGCTGCAGGTGGTAGGCAGGAGCCCAGGGGACAGGGCCAGCTGGCCTGCCCTGCCCTCTGCTCGCTCCTCCCCTGCACCATCCGGAGCCTTGCCCCACCCCTACCTGGGCTCTGGGGGAGGAGCCGTTGGCAGGATCACACCCTGGAGCCCCGCGGCAGTGAGACACCTGCCTCAGGCGCCCAGGCTCCCCTCCCATCCACGGAGCCCACCCTGTCCCATCATGCTGCTGCTGCGATGTCCCCCAGGGACTGGCAAGGCCTCCCAATGTCTCCACTCCCAGAGGTGCACCTGGGTCCCGGACTGGGGCTCGCCAGCCCGCCCCAGCTTGTCAGCGGGGTTCGTCAGCGCCTGCAGCAGCCCCTCTGCTGTTCCCAGGGACCTTTCATACACTGGCCAGGAGACTGCAGAACCCGCGTCTCCCCGTCTCCCCAGAGGTCCTGCTCCTCCGTCCAAACCATGCCAGGGATGAGGAGCACCCGGCCCATCCCTTCCTCTCTCCCTGCTGGGTGGGTGGGTTTTTTGTTTTTGTTTTTTATTTTTTTAGATGATCCCTATGTTGGAAGTAAAAAGTTGAAGCACTTTATTTTGGTTGTGTTTGATAGCATTCTGCTTGGAAGTGGGGACTCCTCGCCGTGTCCATGTATGTGTGACCGTGTCGAGTACCACCCACCGCTTGTACATACTGTAAATTATTTATTAATGGCTAAATGCAAGTAAAGTTTGGTTTTTTTGTTTGGTTTGGTTACTTTCTTCTAGACAGCACCTGAGAGTCTAAATGGACCTCGGTTCTGCGGGGTGGGGTGTTGGGGCGAGAGAACAACCAGCAGCTGGAGCCCTCTGCTTCCCTAAGGTCCTTGCTTTTCCTTAGGAGGGCAGGTGGGGGCCTGGCAGGTGCAGGTTTCCCCACGTGGTAGGTCAGGTGCTGCATGGTGTGGGGACAAAGTGCCCCAGGATATGGCTGGGGAGGCCCTAGGTCCAGGATGACCTCATCTTGACGTCACTGCCTCCCTCTCTACACGTCCCTCCGTCGCAGCCCCTGTGTGCACGTCAGGGCCACATCTGCTGACCATGGTCGCATTTCATACCTCAGAATCCACTTGCCAAGATGGGCACCCGGAGTCCCTGCCCTTAGCACTGAATGACATCAGGCAGAACCACAGTGCAGCTGATCCAGGCCACACCTGGCTTCTCCGCTGTCCCAGCTGTGTGACTTGGAGCGAATCATCTAACCTCTCTGAGCCCAGGTCTCTCCGTTTGAAGCAAGGGGTCTGTCACGTCTGGGCTGGTGCTTCTGTGGGTTTGTTCCCACACAGAGTTGCACAGGACAATTCAGTGTTGGCAGGAGACAGGACAGGCAGGGAGGGAGAACCCCAAAGAGTAAGGATTTGTTTTAGTCGCTGGCGGGACTGCAAGCCCAGAGTTAGGATGACAGCTTCCCGGGCCTGCTCATCACACAGGCTCCAGAGAACACGGTAGCTGGGTTTGTGAGGGAGGAGCCCGCCAGGGAGGACTGGACGGCCTCATCCTACAATGCCCCCACGCGACAGTGCCAGGGACCTTATACTGGGGCTAAGCGGGTGCCACAAATCAAACACCGCAGCCCGGAGCTGGAGCTGGAGCCAGCAGGGTGTTGGCGGCAGCCGGCCAGCGCAAGGACGGATCACAGGGAAGCGGAGGCACAGTCGGGAAAACCGCTCACTCACCATCCGATGAAAATAATGTAGGACGCTTGCCAGAAAATATTCTTGGTTTGGAATTTTTTCAAGAACCTCCCTACATTTAACCAGCAGGAATTCTCTCCCAAGCCCCATGCTACCGGTTGCCCTCAAGAACATGGAAATTTGCATTTCATCATGAACATGGAACAGGGCGTGGCGCGCAAACCGAGTCCCAAGAAGGTCTTCAGGCTTGGAGCAGGCCCCGAGCTGCCAGGCCGCCGCGCAGCAGGGGCGGGGACCAGGTGCCCCAGCGCAGGGAGCAGCGTCTCTCCCGCCCGTCCAGACTTCCTCAAGGGCCAGGACGCTCACGTGGGCGCCGAGGGTGGAGCTCAGCGTTGGGGCACTGCGCGGCGGCAGCGTGCGATCCAAATCATCCGTCCGTCAAAGCTTTTGGAGTTGTTTGGCAAATCAGAATTTGTAAGGGTTAAATACAGGGGGGAAAAAAAAACTTAAAAACGAGTTAAATGCAAAGTTCATTTATAAAGAAAAGGAAAAGCAGGGTGGTAATCCCAGCTAGTTAGTAGGCTGAGGCAGTAAGAGTAACAAATTCAAGGCCAGACTGGGCAATTTAGCAAGGCCCAGTCACAAAATAAAGGGCCAGGAGGTAGCCTGGTGCTCCCAGGGCTCAATCCTCAGTACGGGGTGTGGTGGAATCTGTGGGTGTTTGGCAGAGGCCTGAGAGCCAGGAAGGAGTGGAGTCTGCCACCCCAGAGAGTGTCACAGAGCAAGGGTGGCATGCGGCTCAGGCAGCAGACTGGCTTGGCATCAAACCCAGCTCTGCCCATTGCTAACTGTGTGGTCTCCTGTGGATGTTTTGAGCCTCAGATTCCTTATTTGTAGAATGAAATTACTAGCACCTGCTCCCAAGGTAGCCATGGAAATCCAGTGAGCTCGTGCTCATTCACACACACCGGCCCTGGCACAGTGCAGGGGGAACACCGAAAACGAGGACCCCTCCTTTGGCTGCTCATTTCTGGGGCTGCATGGATTGCTAGGGAGAGCAGCGAGCACAGCTTCAGGCAGTGGGAGGGAAGGGATAGAGGAGCCCATGTGACCAACTCCAGACAGCGAGAGGGAAGACAGGGTCTCTGTGAGGTCCCAGAGTGGCTGGGGAGCTGCCACAGGAAGTCACCTTGGGTTCCACGTGTCTGACCCGGGTCTCCGGCAGTTCCAGCCTCCTACAAAGTGCAGACAGGGGCCAGGAGGGGACGCAGCAGTCACAGCTGCAGACAGCACAGCCCAGCTCCAGGCAGTGGCAGTGCAGGCGAGGGCAGGAAATGGTGGGTTTTGGGGTCTCCTAAAGCAGAGGCGCTGACAGCGCAGGGCGAGGTTGCTGGGAGGAGACCATGCCATCTCCGGGGTGAAGGTGGCACCATGAGATTTTCTCATGCCAGAAAGTATGGGCAGTTTAAGTTTTTGGAACTTTAAATGGTGGATGCAAACTTCCCAGGACAAAGTTTTAAGGAAGGCAGTGCCCGTAGAAGAAGCTGCCTACATGAGGGGAAGTGTGTGGTTGAGAGTTCGCAAGCTGGTGGCTCGGACAGCCGAGGCTCGGGAGAAGAAGTGCAGCCTGTTCTGGGCTCTCCCTGAGGGCTAGGACTCTGGGGACCACATCCCAGCAGTGACTTGGGAGCCCACAGCTTGGGCAGCCCCAGGCCCTGCATGTGGTCAAGGAGAGCTCTGTTTACTAAGGTCCAATGCTAAATTATGCTGGGCAGATGATGGCAATATTTTTTTAAAGTTTTTTTTATTTTCTTTTTTCTTTTTTTTTTTGGAGGGAGGATTGAACTCAGAACCTTGTGCTTGGGAGGCAGGCGTGGTGCCACTGAGCTAAATCCCCTGCTTAAAAGTCATTTTTAAACAGAGTCTCTAAGTTGCCCAAGGGAGTCTCAAACTTGTGATTTTCCTGCTTCAGACTCCCAGAACGCCAGGATCGCAGTGATGCTGACATTTAACAAAGAAATTTAGAAGAACATGAGAGGCTTTTCAGACACTAGATGATGTAGTGGCTGGAATGATCCTCATTCAACTCCTGGTCTTGCCACTCGCCTGGGGTGACCGAAGCCTTAGTTTCTGCTCTTGCCCAGCAAAGGTGGGGTTCTACTGCCCTGATGTTTGGGAAGATGGCACAGCAGAGGCTGGCACGAAGGAACTCAGGGAAGAAGTGATGGGCAGACCCTACATACCTGCCAAGCGCTGGCTATGCCCCTCCTCACGCTGCTTGGTCACGCAGCGTCACGGATTCACTCATGGACTGTAACTCCAGGGTGTCTCATGCCTGCCAGGTCCTCCCCAACCTGCAGCCCACACCCAGCCTGGCCCGAGAGAACGAATGGGGGGGGCCCTTGGCCAGGGTGACCCCAAGTGACCCACGGGTCCTTCAGTCACTCTCTCCAGGCCATCTAGAAAAGTGAAATGTGCCCGGCCACACAGACCCACCAGGGGGCAGCAAGCTCACTCAGAGCCGGCCTGGGAGTGGCCCACCCACGACTACTCATGACGCCACAGGCCCGGGTCAGCTGCCGCAGAGGAAGGGGGCCTGTGGCAGTTGATTCCTGAGGCCAAGCTGCCCTGGGGCACAGGAACAGGTCTCAAAAAGTATTCAGACAGTCGGAAATGGAAGAGTAGAAGTCCCCAGCATCCTTACGAGGGAACAGCCTAAGAGCTTGGGCCTTTGAACCACTCGGCTCCTGCTGAGCCATGCACCAGCCTGGGGGAGCGACCCCATGTTACAAAGGTGTGGGCAGAGGGGAAAGCCTGGCTTGGCCACCTTCACTGTCCCCTGCAGCCTCTTCTGCCTCCTTGAGAAATGGAAATGAGGCCCTTGAGTCTTGACAAATTTGGCCACAACCTGGGAAGGTGGAAGAAGTGGCCCCGGGTTCCAGATGAGCAGACCGAGGTGGCAGGAAACCACATGACCTTCTTCTTTTTTTTTTTTTTTTTTTTTTTTTTTTTTTTTTTTTTGAGTTTATTGGTACATTTTAGGTATACAGTACAGTTACATTCATTATTGGGATCTTGTACCTTTAGGTCTTGGTTCTCATTTTTTCCCCTTGTCCCTGCCCTCCCTCCTCTCCTCCCCATTTACAAACACTTTATTTCCATTTTTTCATTTTCTCATATTTTTTCCCTTATTACCTTTCCCCTACCCTTCCCACTTTCCCTACACCTTTAGACCTTTTCTTCCCATTTCACAATGTCAGTTATCTCATTAGGATCTTATGTGCTATTACAGTTTATTCACACGAGAGAAACTATTCGGTATTTACACGTGTGTTATTTATTTCACTTAGGAGTATATCCTCAATATGTATCCATTCACATGACCTTCTTAAGGTCACCCTGTAAGGTGTGGTCACATACCCCTGCACCCACCTCAGCCACCTGCTTTCTGCCTTGAGGACAGAGAGGGAGCACAGGGGACACCCAGCCAGCAATGGAGTCAATGTAGGGTGAGCAAGAGAGGAGTCTGGGTCTGAGCAGGAGACTGGGTGGAGATGGGAACTCAAAGCTTGGACTCTGAGGAGTGACAGGATGGGAGGGGTCAGGGCTGGACCACAGCCCCCAGATCTGAAGCCTGGGAGGCTCAGGGTCCCAGGAGGAGCAGTGCGGGTACCAGAAGGTTCACAGCAGGAAAATCACGGGCCAGCCTGGGGACCTCCTGGGTGATGCCAGACACCATCTGGCTGCAGGTGTGTTCCCACTCCCATGTACACAGAGGCTGCAGCCACCCACCCAGTGTAGTGACAGCTCCATGTTCTGGAATCTTACCATGTTCCAGGCACTCTGCCAAGGGCTGCATGCAGGTGCTGGTTTGTCCCAGCTGCCGCCTCGCCAGAATCCCCGTGGCTCAAAGCCCAAGGTGGCTCCATCAGAGAGGCCTGATCAGCAGGGCCCCTGGATGGCCCTCAGGCCAGCAGAGACCAGGTGTAGGGGTCCCCTCCCCAGGGATGAGTGGGCATCTCCAGCCACCATCTTGTAGATGCAGCCATCTGTTTGCTAATGGTCTGGGAGAACCCTAGAGGCGAGCGCCCCATGAGCTGATTGCGTGGGTCTGACACAGGAATAAGAGTCCTTTTCTCTCTTTCCCAGCAGGGACATTTGTAGGCCATCCCCATGGGGCTGGTAATGGTCTGGGCTGGAAGACCTGGCCATGCCCGGGATACACATAGCAGAGATGGCAGATGGTAGATGGACGCCCCTGGCCTCGTGGGTGGCCTCTAGTGGTGAGAAGTGGACAATCATCTAATTACAGATGCAGGGGCAGACACTGGCCTGCTCCTCAGCAGTGGCCTGCTGGTCCTCTGGCCTTGGCCTGGAGTCTCATGCTGTTCCCTGTACCTGAGCCTCATTGTCCTCTCTGCTACCAACCCGCAGACGAGGACCTGATCACCAGGCAGCCGGGGAAGCCAAATAAGAAAAGGAAAGCCCTTGGTGAGCCAGTGACAGAACTGGGCGGTAATGTGGGTGCTGGTGGAGCTTCTCTCCTGGGCCCCCAGACCTTGACATTTGGGCCACTGCATGCATCTCTGCATTGGGCAACCTGACCAGGAATCCTGCTGAATGGCTTTCGCCACAGCCCTCTACAGGCGGTCAGGTTCATCGGCCTCCAGCACCCACATGAAGTCTGAGCCCCCAGCCACCTTCAGCAGGAATCAGTCGGGTCAGTTTAGCCAGCATCCTTTCTCCACATTTCCTTAGTGATTTTCCACCCACTGACCTCACCCTCCAATGGAAAACAGGGATAAATGCAACACTGTAGATGAGCCCTCAGGCCCATCACTTTGCGTCTTCATTTAGAGGTCCGGGCCGTTGGCTGCCGGGGTCCCAAGCACAGACGGTGTCCAGGAGCCAATTTCTCCAGACCCTTCAGGGATGATTTGTGTTCATTTTACTATTCATGACACTAGAAATAAACTCTTTGTGATCCTTGCTGCTGTCAACTAGAAAAGCAAGACACACGAATTAACCCTAAGCAAAATCAGTAAAACTCGTGAGAACCACAGTGACTGAAAGCAACGGAGGGTGATGTTTCGTGGACACAAATAGACCCCTCAGTGAGGCAGCTGGCGGGCAGCGGCAGGGAGCGCGCTATCCCTGGATGGGTGAGACGGCCGCTAGGCAGGCCGTTTGCGGGCCCCTGCTGCCCTCTGCAGGAAGCATCGGGAACCACGGGCTCTCCTGGGCCCTCAGCCTGGGCTTCAGAGACGTGGAAGGGAAAAACAGCACAGGCCCCGGGGTGGTGGCAAGAGAGGGAGGGCCCTGGCTGCAGTGCCCTGGGATGCCCAGCGAGCCCCGGGGTAATGGCAGGCGTCCAGCATTGTATGGCACCGCAGAGACCTCTCTCGTCCCTGCCTCAGTACTCCATTTCGTAGTTGAGAGCTGAGGACAGAGGTACAGAGGACAGAGGACAAAGCTGGGGTCCATGCCTCCGTGGCCCTGCCCTTGCCCTTGCCCTTGCCCTTGCCGGTCCACCTGCCAGGGCTTGGTTCCCAACACCCTGCCCTCCAGCTCCGGCCACTTCCCCCTGGCACTTAGGAGACTGGTGGTCTACCTTCTGCCTCCCTGACTCCCAGCCCATTAGACCGCATCCTTGTGGCTCCCTTTGGGTCCCAGAGCCAGCCAGCCCTCAGTGAAGAATGGAGGGCTCCATCAAGAAAAACCTCTCCTCCAGTAACCGTCTGGCCCCAGCAGTGTCTCTAAAGGTTGTGATTCCTGCTGGGCCTTCCTGCTTACATTCTGTTCTGTCCCCCGCAGAGCAAGCCTTCATCAGCTCTAGCTGGGTGGGCGGTGGCGGGGGGTCGCCCTCTCCAGCTGCCCCAGCTCCCTTCAACCCAGGACCGAACACCGTCTTAGGTTTACAAATCTCTCCTCTGCCCTGTGTACCACTCACATAGCCACGGGACCTCAAGAAGTGGCTTTCCACCCTCTGATGAGTCCTTGTCTTCTGCACAGTTAGGAGGGCCCAGAGTGGGTCGGTGGGGCGTGACCTGGAAGGTGTGCTCTCACCCAGCTCCTCCCTCCTCTGCCCTCCTGGCTACTGTGAGGTGAGCAGCTGTCCTCCATCGGCACCACCATGCTGTTCTGCCTTGGAGCCAGCCAACCACGGACTGAAACCAGGAGCCAGAATAAACCTCTGCTCTTTAGCGGTGGTGTTGGGTACTCTGACCCAGGGATGGGAACGTGGCTGAGACAGGAGGCGTTCTATGGGGCAGCTGGCCTGAAGCCTGTAGTATCCCCATTCCCACCCAAAGCCAGAAATCAGTGTGGCCAGGACAAAACCAAATGGCTGGCCACACTTGTCCCATGTCACGTGGCCACAGAACTGACCAGGACGTCTGGGTCGTGGAGCCTGGGGGAGGCCCACCAGGACTCAGGATTCCACAGGAAGAGGTTGTGCTGTCCCACCACACCCCGCCCACCTTACAGAATCGAACTGAGGAGGCAGGACCTCCTGGGCTCCAACCAGAAGATGCAAAGGGACTGGGGCCGGCTGGCACGGAGGTGAGTTGGCACAAACCCTGCCTGGCCAACCCGGCCTGCTCCTCTGAGAGCCGGGCTGGAATCTGGAGTCCACACTCGGGGCTGGCAGGCTGCAGGGCCTCGGGTTTCAGTAAGTGACCTTTCTGTTGGCGCTAAATGAGGGCTTGTGGTGATGCCAGGGAAAAAGGAGGCAGGGGCCTGTGCCTGCCACTTCCAGGAAAAAGCAGGCAACTTGGCAGCGGCTGGTTTCAAAGCCGTGTTGCTATTATAAATCATAACAAGCAGATTACTGCAGCACTTGTTCTTAAAGTTTCCCCGAGTTGTTCCAGCTGAGTCGTGATGGCGGCGGCAGGGTTAGGAGTCGAGTTTCTTCACAGGCAGCAAGAGTTCTTAGCTCATCATTCCCCTGAGGGCTACATGCACTGCAGATCCCAGCCCTCCTTCCTCTGCCCAAGCCCTGTGTCCAAGTCCCCCGGGCTGTAGGAGTCACCGTGGAGGGCCCCTCAGCGCCCGGAATTAACGGAGCTGGGCACAGTGGTGCACATCTGTGCTCCCAACACCTGGAAGCTGAGGCAGGACTGCAAACGTGAGGGCAACCTGGGTGACACAGCAAAGTCAAGGCTGGGGGCGGGAGGTGGACGAGGATGACAAAGGTTAGACTTTGGCTTCAGTCTCTTCAGTATTAGTAAAAGCCCTCGGACATGAACAGGCTTCTGTAACTCCTCTTCCCGCAGGCCGAGCCACCCTGGCTGTGTGGGCCACAGCGAAGCTGCACAGCTTAGTTCCAAACTGCCACAGTGAACATGCGTGTCAGCGTCCCATTATAAAATGCCTTTGCTCCAGAATCTATGACCCAACTGCAAAATTACCCTCAAAAGCTGTGGGCTGGAGCCACTGTCTCATTTCCTTCTGGATAGTGGGGTGTGCCCAGCTGTCTCCCTGGGACCCTCTGCAGGAGCAGCCCTGCGGAGACCACAGGCAGACGCAGCAGCGAGTCCCACGGTGAACGCAAGACTGTGGGCTGCAGCCAGGGAACTGTCACCCTCAGCAATGGCTTGTGGGGAAAAGAAAATCTTAGAAACCTGTTGTTTAAGGCCCGAAAAAGCAACAGAATTGGTGTCAGCTAGGGGAAAAAAAAAAATGTACTTGAAAAGCCACCCCTGACCAAGCTGTCAAAATCCCTGGACAGGGCCCAGCACTGCACAAAGACAGGGAGATGCAGAGGAACCTCTGGAACAGTTACAGCAAGGTAACAAGGTAGCCCAGTACTAAAAATCCTTAGTAACACTTTTTAATATACAAGAATCAAAAGTACAGCAGTTTTACAATGTAGGAAAATTTAATACATACTATATAAACATTATTTACATCAGAACTTACCAGGACAGTGGCATTTTTCACAAATATAAATTAATTACTGTTTAGTCAACAGGTTTAAAAGTCCACAATTTTACAATAAAGAAAACCACCCATCCCCAGTGAGTGGGGCGCAGATGGACTAAAGCAGCCTGGACCCCTGGCATGGCTCTCCTCGCCACGCGGCTGCCCCGGACAGCCAGAAACGTGCTGTGCGGGGCCTGGGCCATGCTCCTGCTGACAAGTGGATTTGGTCTGTAGGACTGTGCCATCGTGTGACCCGGAACGGACGCCTTCCCCTGCAAGGCCGGCGCATCAGGCCAGAGCGTCTGCAGACAGCGTGAGGCGTGTTCGGGTCCCTCTGAAGGGCTAAGGAATGACTGGACGGAGAGGAGAGCAGGCCAAGGGCGACCCGGCCGGGCTCCCCAATGGCCCAGTGATCAGCCTGGGCGTCACCTTGTCCTCTCCTAGGGCTGTCACGCACCAGGTCCTTCCCCACTGACCTCGGCTTCTGGTGAGGGCAGCTGCCTCCTTGCTCAAACCATTCCATTCCCACCCACAATGCAAGGCCTTCAAGCCAGGCTCCACGGAATACAGCCCGCACTCTCCCGGGCAGCTCTCCCTTAGGAGTGAGAGAATTCCCACCTGTGCAAACTTCTGTTGTGATTTCAGCACACGCTACTCATACTGAGTAAAATCAATGCGGAAGTGCTTCCTTTCCACCAACCCACTCTTCAGATCAACTTCAGCACCTAACACAGATGCTCACTGGAGTATACTGCAATTTCAGAATCACTGTAACACTGATCTGGCTGATACTGCCTCCTGCTACATGGTATGGCACTAGAAGTCCTGAATGTGAACAAAAGGAAGTTCCTCTTTCCTCATGATGAGGCATCTTTGGGAACAACTTGCAGTTCCTATCAACAACTAAAGAGAAAAACCTTGGTGAGTATGGAAATGCAGGGCTTGTGCCCCTCTGCCCCCGTAGGGCAGCAATCTGGGGAGCAGCAAGCCAACCTAGCCTTGCTCTTTGGCTTGGGCAGGACAAAACACAGGGCAGTGGCATTGTCATCAGCAAGAAGCTCCACCTCTGGTTTCCTTTTCACTGTGCAGCCAAAGTGGAGAGTGAATTTCCTCTCCGAGCAGTCACTGGGCTCTGCTGCAAGACTTGAATGTACGGGCCAGAGCCAGCAACCTCAAGTACCAAGAAGGATGAGAGGTACTGGGTTTGCCCAGACCCGGGCACAAGCTGCAAAGCCCGGGCTCCTACCTGGAAAGCTGCCCCATGAAGCTGTGCAGGAGGCAGTGGCCCAGGCCCGTTGCTTCTGTTCCCTGGGGAAGACACTGCCAGCAGGTCTTGGGGAGGTGCTAGTGGTTCTGGCAGGACAAGGTCCCCAGAGTCTGTTCAGTGGGTTTAACCCTGCACATGCCAAGGGAAGGGCTTTCATCAGCTCTGACCCTGGATACTTAAAGAGGCACACCATTCCTATGTTTAAGTCACTGTTTCTGTCTCCATCTAGAAAGGCTTTGGATGCTTTAAGAACACTGGCAAGCTATCCTGAAAACGAATGTTTAAAAGGCCCCAGCATCAGTACATTGACTCAATTCACTCTAGCATGATCCTCACCATCTCTGACTCAGCCATCTTCGCCTGGGATGCTTCCTATTCTGAAAAACAATCGACACAGGTTTATATTTTGCAGATCTTACTCTAAGCACTCACGATGGAAGCTCATTCACCAGAGGCAGTTGATCTGTCTGACCGTCAAAGATGTGCGATTCTGCTTGAGATGTGCAAAGGAACTAAACTAAAATGCAGCTGCAGCTGTTGCCCTTTTCAATACTAAAAGACCCCTCCCCACTCCCTCACACACCCAGCCTGCAGCACGGATCCAGTGGCCTTTAAGGATCCCCACCTCCAGCTGTGAGCAGCTGGCCAGAGCCCACCCTGCTTGCCCTCTCCTTCCCTTCTCCACAGCAGTCAGAAGTCCACCAGGAATTCCGGTTCCCTGGTCGAATTCCCCTCCCTAACCCACCCTACACCCCCTTGGGTCACTCCCCGATCAAGAAGACCCATGCTGATGCCAATGCTGCCTAACTCACAGTACTCATAAATCAGCTGGGGATCTGACTCTCCCAATACAGAGGGAAAAAGGAGCCCTCCCAGGAGACCAAGGCCCTGAAATGTACAAAGACAGCAAGGGAATTAGTGTTGGCAGAGAGGAGGCCAGGCCGGAAGGTGCTTCCCTCTCTTTACCTGGCCCGGCCCCATCCTGTAGGTTTCACCTGTGAGTTGAGCACCTCACTTCTTCCAGGTACACACTGGAAGGACGGACCTGCTCCCCCCTCAAGACCTAGAACGTGGGACCCTGCCCTCGCCCGTCAGCAGCATCGTTCCGTCACTACTCGCTCACTGTTCAGCAGGTCCCGGAGGCCTTCATGCACCAGTGCTTTCCCCTGACTGCGGCACCGAGGTCCGGGGGCCACTGAACCTGGCAATCAAACATTCACGACTCAGAGATCCCCGTCCCATCCCTGGAGAACAGCTGATGAAGCTGGCACGCAAAGTCACCGCTCTTCCTAGCAGCCATTGAGGTGGGAGGCCGAGCCGGGCTGGAGTCGGGTGGGGCCAAAGTGCAGGAGTGGTGCCCAGAGCAAGCCGGCCGCCCGGGACCTTCCACTCCCTGAAGTGCTCCTTCAGCCGGTAGGGCTGGCAGCAGCGTGTCCAGAAGCTCCTCCAGCCCAGAAACCGGCCACTAGACCAAAGCGTCCAAGTGCTTGACGGCTCCTGCGCTTCCCTGCCCGGGCTGTCCTTTATGTTTTCCGAACGTTCCAGTTATAATCTGGGTTGTTTTTCTGTTCTAGTGATCTCTCCAAAGGAGACCTGTGATCCAGGGGGGACTTGGAATCGTGGGGAGATTTCTGAGAAGGGGGTGAGCGAGGATCCGAGCCTGCAGGATGCAGTGGGGGTAGCGGCTGTTTATATTCCCCCAATTTGTCTGTGTGGAAAGAGCGGTAATGGTCTGAGGGTCCCTGGCCATGGTAGCCCATCGGAGGGCGGTGATCAGACATTCGTCGGAAATCCTGCTGGTGGTAATTCTGAGGCCGAAACTCATCAGATCGCCTCCGCTTGGAGTCATGATGGTGTCTGAAACAGAGATGCAAGGTTAGCTGAAAAGTCCAAAGCCAGATTTGGCACACCATTAAAATAGAATCTGTACAACTCAACAACAGGACAAACAACTAAAAACCAAGCAAAGGACCCAAATAGACACTGCTCTAAAAAAAAAAAAAAAAAAATTTTTTA